TCCCACAGAGTGTTCTCTGAATAATGTTGCAAGGAACACTTTTTGCTTTAAAGAGTAGCCAGTCACATGACTTTTCCATTCATCTAGTACAGGGTTAAGCAACTTTGGCTCTCCAGCTGTGCTGAAACTACAAATCCCATCATGCGTCTGCCTCTGGGATGCATGCCTGTGGCTTGCAATGCCCTATGGGACTTGTAGTTTCAGCACAGCTGGAGAGCCACGGTTGCCTACCCCTGATCTAGAAGATTTGGGCTTTGCAAAGCACATTTGTAAAGCACACATCTGTTCACATTTTTTTTACAGCTTTTGTATGGCAGCAGTGTTTGCTTAACTCTTCCCAAGAACCAACCCATTAGATAAGGGCTGGGGGCTATTGAGTGGTGTGCTGAGACAGGGTGCTGTAACATTTTCAGAAAGCCATGTACAGCTTCCTGCTGTCCCCTCCCACCAGCAATGATCTGCCTACATTGCAAAGGGAAACACAGACCATTGATGTCACTGGGTCTAAAAAAAGTTATATAATAAAACCAGGTTTTATTTAAACATGTGGTTAGCATGTTGATTGGGGAGGAAGGGGCGAAGGAACCAGGGAAGGCAAAATATAAGCATTATAAAAATTTGCTTTGAATGGAAAGATGCCAGTTAAGGTGGTATAAGCATGTTACATGGATAACACTCCATCCTGTTCCAGGCTTGACAGGGCAGAAACCTAGGACATACTTTTATATGCTCCAGAACTGGGATGTCTCCCATGGGGCATGGAAATATAAAAGTACATAGCACCGGAGAAAGTGAAAACTAGACTGCAGATGGTGAAACCCACACAGTGATGGTAATAATACAATCCTCAGCACAGTATAATATACATTTCTAAGCCGTGAAGTTTTAAAACAGCCATTTTAATGGAAATGCATATTCCTTGTTTTTTTTGCTTTGTGTGTTTTATCCCTTGTCAGATTTTCTTTCACTTTTTAACCTGCACTGCATTCATTTTCATTACAAATACAGAGAAAATATGCATGACTATATAATGAGAATTATACACTTAATCATATAGGGAAAATATTTTCAAAAGAAATCTGTTTTGATTTTAGTTAAGAAGGTAATGACATATCTAGAGGTGAGATGATTGTTCCAATCATATATAATTCATGAGTCCTTTTTTTCCTAGGTCCTGTGTTCTGAATGCTTTCATTGATGATTTTCATGTACGTTCCACAATACTGTGAACAATTGCCCATAATCTAGTTTTCTTTATATGCTGAAGAAAAGTCAATAGAGCTACTGGGTATCTTTATTTGATATTGTAAGCTGAGCAGTTGCAGGTGCAGAAGCTTAGTAGCATAAATGTTTCCTTAAATATATGTACAAATGAAACTAATATTGGTCACGGCATGAGTGGTTCAATTTTAGATTATTACAAATAATTCTAAGTGTAGCTATTTTTTCCCCAATAACAATAATTCATGAAACATTTAGACATTTCTATACATCGAAGAAATATTTCAGCATGTGGAATACTAACTGCCATGGCTGCTTCCAGAATCGTAGATCATGAATCTGTTTTGGGAACAATGCCTATTTTACCGCAGGGCTGGACAAATCTGCAAACCAGGCTAAAACAGGATAATGTCGGCCCTCTGATGTAGACTTTCTTGTGGACATAAACTTTCCCAAGGCCAAGCATTCTGAATCCATAAAGTGTATCTAAACCCAAGAACAAAATGTACTATATTTGAGCTTCCTAGTCCTTAGGTGTGGTGGCACCATTTGTTTTCTTTTTTTAAGGCTAAGTACATTTTCTGCAAGTACAAAACATACCTGAATCTATGGAGAAGCAACAGGTCTGCTCTGGAACCCAATGCATTTTTTGAGGGGATGAGGCTTTTCATGAATTGTACATTGGCAACTGGGGTTTTCTCTCTGCACCGTTGTCACTTTCGCGCCTCACCCTGGTCACGCGGCTTTTGTCATGGCTTGGTAGCATATTTGTCTTTTTCACAGGAACTCTACATGCTGAATGTATTGTAAACATATTTGCCCTTGGGAAAGGTTATACTCTGGATGCAAGGTCCACTGTATATGTAATTTGGGTCATTTTTAGTTTTGGTAAACTTGAACCCACAGTTGTCCACTTCTGTATGCTCTATGGCAGCTTGAAACAATTGAATTTACACCACAAACGGTGTCTAGACAGTGGGACAGTAGGTAAGGATCTTCCTTAGCAAGTTGTAGTTTGAACAATCTTTCAAAATGTTTAATGTAAACACTGATGTATTTTCCTACACCCTACATACATACATGCTCTGCACATATTTGTAGGAAGAATTGTCCCTGGTAAAAATGCATTCTTTCTGACATAAATGAACTAATCGTCCTATGCTTGTTGACTGTAACCAAATACTTAATGACAGAGAAGAGATTCCTATACCAAAAGACATGGGCCAGCTAAGCTGTTTAGCTAACTAGATCCCACCACTTGACAATGATTCTAAAATCATGCTTCTGCTGGGAAGAAACCTCCAAAGTGCGTGTAAAATACATGAGAAATTCAATGGTTGTAACAATGGTGCTTATGCTCAAAGGACCAAGCTAGAATCATTTATCTGCAATCCTTGTTCCAGTAAAAATCAGGGTTCAAACGCTGTGCAGTCTAATAACATCATGAGACAAGGAAGTCAAAGCTATATAAGAGAACTGCTTCATTACAACTTTGGTAAAATTACACCCCAGACTGTCATTCACATCAGAAAACCTGCATCTTTTTCAGGTGACCATGAAACTTCTAATACTGAGATGTTCTTCAGTTTGTGGACTGTGCAGCCATTGACTCTGGATCACTATCCCCTTTAATGGGTGCTGCAGAGTTGTTCACAGAGGACCAGCTGCGACCTCTTCTATCATCAACGAAACTACACCTGACAACTGCATAATAGTAACACGTCCTCACTTTAATTCTACATTCCTGCAGCACTCAAGATTCTCTAAGTCTTTGTCCATGCTTTTCACAAAAACTTGGAATGCAATTATTTTTTGCAATTTGGAGAAGGTGCCAATAATTTTGTCCAGACCATTTTTGGAGATTTGCGTAGAATTTATCAGATTTGGCATATTTTTTCTGCACTTTTTTGTGTCATACCAATACAAACAAAAGAAATAAACATGAGAATGCCTAAACATTTGTAATTGCAACAAATTGGTGCATTATCTGACAGAAATGAAGTGGTGCCAATATTTTTGTCAGACTGTGTGTGTAGTGTAATAAAAAATAAATATTTACGCAAAGGGAGGGCCAACCCTGTAGACTTGAAGTTCATGTGCTTGTAAAGGCAGCCGTCCCAAAAAACTCACTCAACTGGACAACTTACAATTGAGTAAGCTAAGATTATTTATTCTGTGGTCTTTCTAACTTGGAAGATTGGTTCTTCAGAGGATGCATCTAACACTTCTGTTTCTATTGCAGGTTTATTTTCTATTATTTTCTTCAGGTGCAGTGGACAAGTCTTTCAATTATGGACTGTTTGTGTTATGTTATTGTCAGGTGGGGAGCATGTTTTTTAATTGCATTGTTGATGATTTGGGATCTATTGACACAAGGTTATTCACAAATGGGTGAAGTGTTTGGAGGAGGCAGAAGTGAACAATCTAGGACAACCTATATGTAACCTTGTGTAAAAAAATACCACTTTCAGGTATGCAAGAGCCCGAAAGGGGGGGGGGGGGGCTTTAAAAAAACTCTTGTGCTCTCACGATATTAAGTAAAAAATATAATTTATTGTTCACAAAAAAATAGTTTAAAAATACAAATCACATTGTCATAATTGAGAAACTGGTTAATGAATAAACATGATGTGATAGCAGTACAGTACATAACAGAAGTCTTTATTCATAATGAATTGAGCAGAGGCCATATTTTCCTGGATTCTAGGACAACATAGCTGAACTAGAAAGTGAGCTGAATTGGAATTTTTCCAAATCAGCTATGTTTTCCTAGATTGTTCACTTCTCCTGCCTTCTCCAAATTCTTCACCCTATTGTGAATAACCCTGCTACCGATTGCATGGTACAGCTTCAACTTGTTTATCTTCTGCAGTTGGTAAGGTGTGTTTCCCCCTCCTGTTTTGTGCTAGTTAGTACAGTCCTATCTAAACCTTCCCTTTTTTTTTTATCTCAGTCAGTTCAGTTCAATTCATTGTAGAGACATTACTTGGGAACATTTGTTGTCTTATACTTCAAAAGAGTGGACAGACATTCTCTGTAATGTACTTTGTGAAACCGTGTTGGATTCACCCTCTGTGTCTCATTGGAGAATTAAGCTGTCTGTGAATGTTGCTTAATCAGGTGGCCATACTGGATAGCTCGAGATCTATGTAGGTATGTCAATACATAAAGTGGTAGTTGAGACAAAACATTTCCTATTCTTTGCCCTGTGCAGGAGTTTCCTGTAATACAGACCAGTCACCGCTGCTCTACAAACATATTTAGTGCACACACAATAAATGTATTTCCTTTGTGGCCATTAAGAAACATCTTTAAAATGAATTGCTCTTGCCTGGAGTTTAACTTTAATGTATATTTACATGTATATTTTAAATACAAGCAGTGTTTATACCTGTATCGGTGCCTTGTAGTTCCTGTACAGCAGAGTTATAGTGCACGAAGAAGAAATGGCACAAGTAGCCATTCAGTTAATTGACTGACAGGAAGAATGCTGATTGGAAGAGAAAGCAAAGTGGCAGATGAGCTAATCACTATTTCCTCTTTCACTGTCCAGTCACAGGCTGGGGCAGATTCAGCATGCCCTTGTCTCTGAAGTAGTGGATTGAATGATTATGACCATGGGACTGAAACATCTAGTGGCAGAAAATAGAACAAGCAAAAGCTTGTTTTATTTTATCTTTTAATAGGCTATAGATTTTTCCTTATTTTTGGGTGGAGGTTTGCTTTAAACCTATAACCACTTGTTGCTCATAGCTCCTTAACCCATATCCTCCTACAAGCTGTGAACCTATCAGATTTTCGGGATTCTGCCTTATTAAAGCTGGAAGTCGATGGACCTTTTGCTGGGAACTTGATTGACCGAAGAAATGAGGAATATGTTCTTGTGCAAATTATTCAAATGGATGATCCTGGTTCAAGGAGGCGCCGTCCTACACAGGTGTTTTGTCTTTTTATCAAAAAGCAATATTTGTCGGTGCCTTAAGGTTAATTTAAAGAAGAACTCTGTTGAAATGTTTCATTAACTCTTGACGTGGGGCCCCTCTACTACAAGGGTTAGCTGCTTGTTTTTGTCCAGGTGCTAAAAAAAATTATACTGACCCGGACTGCTGAGCATACTCCCTGCTTCACCGGTCACTGAAGCGTGTCTCCTCCTCTGCTGCACAGATGGAATGTGCCGCAGCATCCCTACATCTATAAACTTTGGTAGAACGTGATGGCACAAGGATTCTTTGACTGCTGCAGAGGAGGGGGAGAGGGGCTCTCAGGACCATCTAAGAACAAGCTGGCTCAAATGATAGGATGAATTTAACTTGTATACCTTTTTTCTTAGCATTTAGACACAAATGGGCAGTTAACCCAAGCAGTGTGGGGTTAGCCCCTTCAATGGTTAATAAAAATTTCCCCCGGGAGCTGTGTTTTAACTGCTATGAGGCTGTAGGCACAACAGTGTCTAGGCTCCCTCCATACCAAAATGTAAACAATTTTTTAGGAATCAAAGACAAAGGCTACATTTTCAGGGTACTACTCAGGCACAATAAACCTTTTTAGATATTCCCGATAACATGGCAAATCTTCCCTATAACATGGCAAATCTTCATGCCCACTTTAAAGATAAAATCCTAAATTGTAGAGTGTCGATTGTGTAGCAAACACATGCAGTGGTGAGCAAGTGATTGTGACTGTTTAAAGTTTATGCAGATTTAGAGTACCATATACCAGTATACAAAACTTTTTTTGTTGTGCAAGCCTAGATACGTAATATAAAAAAAGTTACATACAAAATATATCACTAGTTTAGAAGTGGCCTCATAACCATGAAAATGCAAGGTCTGCCTAATAATTAACCCCATCCACAAAAATGAAAATAAATATAAAATTAAGAAAAAAATGAATTTACTTCTCTTACATCCAGACTTTGAGGGACTTGCCCAGGTGAGGGTAACAACACTCTGCTCTCATGTCAGATTCTTGGAAAACGAAGAATTCACAGATACTGTGAGAATACACACCTGCCCAGTGCTGGGTTGTTTTCTTGCAAGACCTGGGAGCCTCAGCCTCCTGAGGATCTCATGAAAAGGCAGAGTGATGCCACTGAAGTCCACACAAGCATCCAAGTAAATATTTTTTCACTAATGTTTTTATTTTTTTGCAGTGTTTTTAATGTGCATTTTTGTTTGAGGATGAAGGCATTAAGCACACATTGCATTTTCTGCTTCAACAAATCAAAATGTTATGGCAGAATCTTACCACAATAGATGAGGTGCTACCAGATTTAATTTGATGATTTAGACGAAAAACATGTTGCATTCCTACTTACTAAAGGGATGAGAGGTAATGTACAAAATGCTAATAAAATCTTAGGCAGTGGAGAATTCATGAACTAATCTAAAATGGTTTCTTGGTTTTACAGGTCATTTATAATTGGACTCTAGCTTTGAATTCAAGAAAAAATGAACACATTGTAAAGCAAAGGACATTTGAAATATTAAATAGGTTAGTTTCAACATTTTACATGATTGGTATAATGCAGTTTTGATCAATATTAACATTACACCTGTGAAACTGGATACATTACGTTCATAATTATGAAAAACATTTTATCTTTTGAGACAAATGGGATTTAAGAATATCTCTTTCTTAAGGTGTATTTCCACTTTGGCCTTTGAATAGACTGTAAGCCTGCCATTTCAATTTCAAAGTGACAGGAGACTCAGGCTGTCCCCATGAAAAGACTAGAAACACAATGAGCTTCCTCTCATCATATGATGATTCTAGATATTTAACCCATTTTAGGAGAGTGTTCACATCTGGTTTACAACTGATAATGAGATCTGCCAGCACAGTACAGACAGGGTTAGATATGATAACCTTCCTAGCCCCCTTGGACCCCAGAGGAAAGTTTAGTTTAGAGAAAACTAGTAATATAAGGAAAAAAGTCAGTTATGCTATAATGGGAACATGTAACAAATGTAAAATGGTTAAAGGCTGCACCAGCCTGGAATTTCAAAAGGAAGGAACGGTAGAACACAGATGATGCAATCACTTTTCCATCCCTTCAGTAGGCTCTCAGTTTGGCACATTTTTAATGGAATGCAATCTAACTAGCTTACAGAGATGTTCCTCCCTTTTCCAGTGTTGCTGTAGAGGGTTTTGAAGGAGGCCCAATGTCAAGACAGATTTGGGTACTTTTAGTTCTATATGAAAACTACAAAGGCCAGTCTACCTAAAAACTGACCCTACTTCTATTATAGGTGCATTCTGGCAGACTGGTTTATTTTGGTTGCAGGCTTTAGTGGTGAGATCTCTCTGTTGATATTCCTGGCACTGATCATTCTAGCTTGCACTCCATAATGTACAATTGCCCGATCGCTTGCAGGAGCTGTGGGTGTGCGCACCCCTGTACCTCCGCGCCGCCACCTCCTTGCCGCTGCTGCAGGCACGGCGACGCTCTGCGGAGATTAAAAGGAGATCAGTACACAATCTCCCTTTGATCTCTTCTGCTGTCCCAGAATGCAGGAAGTGGAGTATATTACATTCAGTGTCACTCTCCGGTACAGAACACCAGTGAAAAGCTGGTGAAGCAGATCTCTGCTTCATCAGCTTCTCTGGGGCTGCCTAGGGGACATTAGGGGTCTAAGAGACCCCTGATGTCTCCATAAAGAGGACCTGTTATGTGAATTGGCTATCACAGGGGATTTCCTAGTCCCCTATGTGATAGCAATAATGTTAAGTGTAAAAAAGAAGCTAAAAAAAGTTTTGGGTGTGTTCGTTTCCTGCGATTTCGCGTGCACGCGCAATTTTAAAGCTCGACATGTTTGGTGTCTACCCGACGTATTTCACTTGTTTGCCTGATGAAGGGGATTCTGAGAGACCCCGAAACGTTGTTTAGAGTGTTCTACTTGCAACTAGTACGTTAATAAACATGTACTGAACTTGCTTTGGAGTGCCGGTGTCCATCCTTTACTTATATTTACCTGATGTGACCCCGTCTTTTATATTTTACCAAAAAATTGGGGTGATAATTAATGTTTCATAACATTTCATAGGGAAACAGTTTTTGTTTTTTTTTTAAATCTAGGGCACTTTTTTTGTTATATAGTAAAGAATAAAAACCCCAGTGGTGATTAAATACCACCAAAAGAAAGCTCTATGTGTCCCCAAAAAATGGTATAAAATTAATTTCAGTACAGCGTTGCATGACTTAAGAAATGTCAAAGTACCAGAGCGCTGAATACCGAAAAACTGCCTGACCAGGAAGGGGGTGTAACACTCTGGTCTTCAAGTGGTTGATTGAATAGTGTTTTACACATTTGTCTGTAATTCAGCTTTAATCTGTATAGATTTCTTTAATGCATGTGCCATGGTCAGGAATAACATCTTCTTGTATTCTCAAGGTGTGTTTTAGAATGTAATATTTTAAATCCCCTGCTGATATTAATAAATAGACCTTTCTGAAATGTAAGAAGCTTCAGACAATTTTTGTCCTGTTGTTTACTACCATCATTTACAATCTTGGGCTAATCTCCTTTTTAAATTGTAGTTGAACTCACCAAGGTCTCAAGAGTGATTTAGTCTTTAAACATACAAGAAATGTTTATGTTCCTCTTGCAGTAATGGTCCTAGCTGTAGCTGTAAACTCATTTTGTTTATTTGAACATCAAAACTAATTTCCTTTGACCACTGAAAAAAATGTGTTTTATATTCTCTCCAGTGACACGATCTCAATAAATATCCAAGCCTTTCTACAGGAGACACAACTCGTTCCACTGTCTTTATCTCATCAGTACCTCAGTGCGAGCATAGAGACACAAGTAACTATTGCAGCCGTTATCTTAGCAGGAGTTTATGCACTAATTATATTTGAGGTAAGCCATCCTGATTTAATGTACTCTGCAAGAAATACTCTTGCATTATACGCAATAGTGTGCACCTATATGGAGATGATAGTGCTCTTGCCTGGTAATGTGTGCACACAATCAGGATAACATATTTGTTTTCTTAGTAATATACTATGGTGCAGTATTTTGTATTTCTCCATTTTGTTTGCCTTAAGTATCACAAATCATTTTTATTTGGCAGCCAAGCCTGCACTGGAGTTCTGGAACTTCAGAGCTGGCTTGTCTGTATGTATTGGAGAATGATGTAAAGCCCACAATGGCTACCTATATTAAAGTGTATGTCTGGCCAAATTTAAAAAAGAAAAAAAGTAGTACGTCTGTACACAAAGTACATAAATATACCTAATGACAAAACAAAAAAATGGTACGTTTTTTTTGTAGGATTATAAGGCACCAAAATATTTAAAAATGTATTTATTAAAAAAACAAACTTTGAGTTGTGCCGAGTCATTTGAGATATGATGCGCTAACAAACGTGGCAATAACGATATTAATACTATAAAAAACACTCGAAAAAAATGCTATATTCTATAATATGAATTGTAACATATATAGACAGTCCCAGAGGGAGTTCTTAGCTGTTTTACTGCCGAAGCGCGAAATGGCACCCTCTCCAGCTAATATTAGACATGCAAAATAAGTCCAGGCAAGTCAAACTTAGATCATATGAATTATTTTATTGAATATCAGCTAAAAACACAATTTTGCCTAAGATGGTAGACTATACATGATTTAGGACTATGAACCTCAGCAGAAGTGATGACTGGTGTTTTTCAGCAACTGAAAAATGCCAGTCTACTGCTAGAACACATAGAAATAAATTGTTTACTGTGTGTCCTGTTCACATCCCAATGCAGGTATGATCTGCAGGGCAGTGCACTGGGGAAAATTCAGAGATGCTGATTCTTTGAATGCCAATAAAGGTCTTATTGGATGAAGATCCTTGGTGTGTTGGTGACATATTTACTTCTTAGATATATACAGCACCATCTGCAGAGTCACTTCAGCACCTGCCAAATAAGGGCTACATTGGTCAGGTGTGTGGTAGAATACCTACACCTTTCCAGAATCTGAGACCCATATTTTAGATAACTTTACCATATTATTAACTCAAATATTTGATTACAAAGGATTTAAGTAAATATTATGTTAAAGTTATCTAAAATCCCCCTTGCAGTTCCTCCTTACATCAGGGTCTTCAAAGCCCCCCTTAAATCAGGGTTCACAGATCCTCCCCCTTCTAGGTCCCCTTTACATCCTATGGACTTTGAGATAAGGGGATGCCCTGGGGACTGGAGTTCCCCCTTAAATCTGCATCCCCAGTGTGTCCACCCCCCTACATCAGACTCCCCAAAACTCCTTTACATCAAGGAAACCTTAGTAATGGGCACATCTTCACATGCCACATAGAGTGAAACACAGAAGCTGCTGAGAGCAGTCCTCCGCTTTCCTCTGTTTTCCCCTCCAGGTGGCTCTGCTGGTGGTATGTTCCAGAGAGACTGGACCAACTAAGCAGCACAAAGTAAGAGGCTGGATGTGGATGAACTGCTGGGAGAGCAGAGGCAGGTATTGCTAGCAAACAAGAGGAAAGCTCTGAGGTGCAGGTAAATTCATGGAGATGGGGCCAGGCAAGTGCTGTGTGCAAGGCTTAGCTGCTGGTTGACGGGAGCTGGGCGAGACACTGGCCAGGGTATGCCATGTGTCTAATAGCCGCATGGGCATGTAGGGATGTATGGCCCTTACATATCTCCCCATCCGGCTATAGTGGTGCATCATATTCTCTCCTCCCCACAGGGCGCTGCTCTGTGTCCCAGCAGGAAGGAGAGAAACTGTCAAAGGTGGTTGAGCACTGCGGGAGGAGAGCACTGTGAGCGACCGACGTCTCTCCTCCCAGCACCGCTCAGCCTCCTGTCACAGATTGCCAGAGCAGTGTGGGCGGAGAAAGCAAACGCTATCACAGGATGCTGAGCTCTCCTCCCGCATCGCTTGCTCAGCCTCCTGTGACAGCTGTCAGGAAGGAGAGCAAGGTACAAACACTCAGTGATCAGTGAACGCTGAGTGTTTTTAAATGATTGGGGACAGAGTATGTTTACTATATCCTCAATTATGAATGAATGGGAAGTGATCTGCATCACTTCCTGTTCATTCATGCTTGTGGTTATAGTAAACATACTATCTCCAACTTATGAATGAACAGGAACACTCAGTATAGTGGATTCCTGTTCATTTATAACATGGGCTGCAGAATAAGAGACTGAGGACATAGCGTCCTCAATCTCTTTTTTTCTATTTTAAAATGGAAATATCGGGGGTCTGTTTAGACCCCTAGTATTTCCCCGAAGCTCCTAGAAGTAAAGTAAAAAATAAAAATATTTAATAAAAATGAATTAAAAAAAAATAAAATATAAAAAAATAAA